GTTCTACCTCACCCGCCATATTCTCCAGACCTTTCACCAACCGACTATCACCTTTTCAAACATTTTCAGAACTTCCTTGCTGGAAAATACTTCATCAATCAGGACCAGGCAAAAAAGCCTTCGTGGATTCTCGACCACCCAGTTTTTTCTTTGATGGGATTTCTCGACTGCTGTCACATTGGCGAAAAATCCGATGAGTATTAAGAAAAGTTATGATCGTTTAAAGAGAAACGCTGAGAACTTTTCGGAGACCTAATATATCTCATTTCAAAAATCTGTTTAGTAGAAGAAAACAGCGGCAGCTAGTTCATGAAAGGTTCCCTGAAACGAATTTCGCTCGGGGTGACGAGGTAAATAATGGGCATGTTGGATTATTTGATCGGGCACTGACTCGATCCTTGTTGATAGAATCCCTCGAATCGATGTGTGTGGAATGCCGAAGCTACTGACTATCTAACTAATTTGTTGGGGTCGAGTCATTAAAATCAAATCGCGAACCATAGCGACGTTGTCCAAACAGCTGTATGGCTGCTCGCCTCCAATGCCCATGCGACAAACTCCAGGAGCCCGCACAAGTGTAGATCCTCCCTGTAAATTACGCTGCTGCTTCAGCAAATACTGAAGGCTCCTGTGATGGTAGAGGCAGAGGAGAGGGCTTGCACCTGCTCATGAAGGACCATCTCCGCAAGAGCTCGTTCTTTCATGTACCTGGACTTTCATGTACCTCGTCGCTCTGTAAATCTAAGTTTCGATGATGCGCGCCACAAGCAGGGTATGAGGTTCGCCCTTCCGTTCTGCCATAGAACATAGTAGAGTGGACCTCCGATAGATTCATGGCATTCACTACATGCAAGCCTGGAAGCTCCTAGTGGTCAATACGAGTTCTCGAACAGGGAGCGTTAACTACTGTTAAATTAGGCGCTATGTTCCTCGAGGGAGTCGGTCTGCAATTGCGAGTGAGCGCCATAGTAGCCTGCGATTTCGAGGGTGGGGAGAGTTGGGTCAAGTTTCTACGGACAATGAGTGTTTCGTCCATTCCGGGGGTTCCTCAATAAATAGTAGCAGTTCGTCACCATAGCGCTGGAAAGTTCGTTGCGCCGATGATTTCAGCGCCGGGGAAAGGGCGTACGTTCCACCGCCACTTGAGGGTGAAATCTCTCCTAGCACTTGTGATTAATGGGGAAATTCCCAACATCACTTTTGTTGGCAACTACACAGAGCCTCTAGGGAAGAGCAGCACCTGGGAGCGAGAGAAATCTCGTCTCACGGGGAAGTATAGCGAATGGCCTTGAAGATGAGGGTCTGCTTCGACAATAAACTTCTACGACGTGAACGGAGCACTGATAAAAGAATGGCAGCACCTTTACGGCCTTGAACATGCGAATGGGAGTCCAGAATAGCTATTGTACCATTTTCTCTTTCGTGCACAATCAGTACGGCACGCTCGACAATAATCAGCACAAAGAAGACTACCGGTAGATGAGCGATGAATTCGCTGAAATATTCGATCAATCATTCGAAATTAAAAGATGGGATTTGCTACTCACCTATCTATTGCATGTTGGATGTGCTGCGGTAGGAGCTTCCAGGTGACGCCTCGTACACTCCTGTAGTCGATCTCATGAATCACTCCACCAAGAGCTTCGATTCCCTGCGGTATGGTGAACGTGTCCAGCGCGGGAAGAAAGGCATTTGTCATCGCGTTTCTGAAACTCTAAAAACTTCAGTATTCAGGTTGAAAGCTCACATGAACGGGAGGACAACTCGGCAGCATTCTAAAGCGGAAATTATTGTTAA